AAGAGGCAACCAAATGGAAAGCTATCCCTCCTCCCTCAGCCCTACACTGCCTCCATCGAGGGGAGTCACCCACTCTCCCTCGGCCCCAATATAGGACCAACCCTCTACCCCCCTTTCCCCAGGAGCACGCAATTCCCACCTAAAGCATGCCCCCCCGCCCTCGTGTGGCAAGTGTTTGTGTGTCCGAACCCTAACGTTGCACAGTGTGGTAGGCGGGCCCAGTCCTGCAATTTTGAACCACCAACTTTGGCGATTTTTCGAACTCAGAGTAACTGATGAAAAGATCTGAAATTTTCAGATCCTCTAGATCAAATTGCGCTTTTTCTAGAAAAAATATCAGAATTTTTTTTAAAAGAGAAACTGTCAAAAAAATGTCGCAGCCGATTCGTTGTGTTTTCGTTTTTTACCCCCCTACGACGTGTGGGCCAACGGAGAAAGTACCCCAACTTCCGCAATTTTTAGCGCTCAGAAAAATAACTCAAATCCGCTGAAAATTTAAGGGTCTGCGGGTTTGGTCTTCATTTTTCCACGAAAAATGTTAAAAAAAAAAAAAAAACGCTTAAATCGAGGAAAAAGAACATGTTCAAACCGCTAAATAAATGCCGACCCAGCCACTCCAAGCACCTACCGACCCAACCACTCCTAGCACGTATACCGACCAAGCCACTTCAACCACCTACCGATCGAACCACTCCAAGCACCTATACGAACCGAGCCATTCCAAGCACCTACCGACCGAGCCAGTCCAAACACCTATACCGACCGAGCCACTCCAAGCACTTACCGATCGAGCCAGTCCAAGCACTTACCGACCGAGCCAGTCCAAGCACCTACCGACTGAGCCAGCCCAAGCCCCTACCGACCGAGCCAGTCCAACCACCTACCAACTTAGCCAGTCCAAGGACCCACCGACCAAGCCAGTCCAAGCACCTACCGATCGAGCCAGTCCAAGCACCTACTGATCGAGCCAATCCAAACACCTATCGACCAAGATTTTTTTTAAATGAAAAACAAAAATCGATTTAAATAAACTATTTAAAAAAAAAAAAAAACAATTTTTTTTTTTGTCACTTTTTTTCATAAGGGACATGGTCGCTGAGTTGTCCTGTATTTTTTTAGAAATGTTTTTCGGGTTTGTGTCGGGAAATTGAGTGTTAAAAGAAAAATAAGATGCAAAAATTAAAAACAAATAAAGAAAAAAAGGGGTCAGATTGGGGTTGGTGTGTGTGTGTGTGTGTGTGTGTGTGTGTGAGAGAGAGAGAGAGAGAGAGAGAGAGAACCAATCAATCAATCAAATCAACCAATCAACCAAATCAATCAATCAAACCAATCTTGATTGGTTTGGTTGATTGATTTGATTGATTGATTAATTGATTGATTGATTAATTGATTGATTGA